TGGTCCAAAAATGTTGTCTATCTTCTTTCCTCCAAAAATTTTCATCAGTGATGTCCTTTTCCAAATCTCTAGCTTCGAATCATCCGTTGCATTGAACATCCACGTTTCACATGCATATAGTACTATTGGTCGTATCATTCTTTGGTACATTCTGGCTAACTAAAACTTCTAGAGATGTTCTTGCTCTTAATAATTCTTTTTAGTGCGTTTACACATTCATTTCCTGCCATTATTGTTGACGTAATTTCCTGGGTTACATTTGGTTTCTTTATAAATACGGTTCCTAGATATGTGAATGTGTGAATGTATCTATATACTTCCTCAAACTTGTATCGTTTGTCTCTCTCAGAATTTATTTGCAGACTTCTCTTCTCAAAATCCCTTTCTAACCACTCCATAAACTTAGTTTTCTTCTCATTAAACGCCAAGCCTACTTTTTCTTCAAGTTTTTTGGTCGCCGATATCAGGTCTATTCGATGTCTTGCTATAGGATAACTAAATCGTCTGCAAAGGTTAGACATTGGTGTCTTTTTGTTTACTAAAGGTCCCCTCTGTTAATTTTCGTATCTCTTATGTTTTTTCTAATACTACACTAAACAGTTCTCGAGATAGTGATTCCCCCTGTCTTAATCTGTCCCTGATTATAGTTTTTTCCGTTGTTTTCTTGTTTATTTTCACTTCGTTTACCTCATAGATAAAAGAAAATAATCTTCTATTAAGATAGATATGAAACTTAATAGTAAAATTTTGGGTCAAAGCGCCCCTCCGTGTTCTTAGTAGAGACTACGTTTAACCCAGCGCCTTCGCCTTTTCTGCTGTAAATATTTTTTATGTTTATATTTGATTTCAAAGGATTTAGTTTTAAAGTTACACAGCTATATTAGTATATCAGAGTAACTTTAATAAAGCATAAGATATATATATATATATATATATATATATATATATATATATATATATATATATATATATATATATATATATATATATATATATATATATATATATATATATATATATATATATATATATATTTTACAGTTTATTAAATATAAATTTTGACTACAAGGTAGAAAGTAAATCACAATATTTGATAAAACTTATAGGTATACCATTTTTACAGTTAATAAATAATAAAACTATTTCTGACTATGATATTTAATATTTAGATAGATAGAATATTAAAAAACATACCGGTATTTGCAGACGCAGGCCCAAATTCAATAAAAACCAAAATTTTTTCTGCGAAAATCGGGCTTTTTTCACAGAAAAGGTATTTTTTGATTTATCAACAATCATTGTCAAGTTGACAATATACAGGGTGTTTTCTAATTAGTCTAAAAAATTGTGGTGTGATTCCTCATGTGTTCTTAAAACAATTTTTATATAACCATTAGGTCTAAAGTACTTCCTTTCTGATCTACAGTTGCCGAGAAAAAAATAAATATACTTATTAAGACCCGCCTTAAGCCGTTTTCTAACGATGTTTTATTTTTTAGATTAATTAGGAAACACCCTGTATATGCATATCACAGGCAACCAAATAAACTATTAACCTCTAAAAATTTTTTTTTCCTACCACTAACGACATACCGTGTTTTTTGTGAGTACTAAATTATTTTATCAAAATTTCACCATATAAGTTTCCAGGCAATGGTTTACCTGCTGTCTCTTGAAATGTCAATTTGATCAAAGAATATACCTAGCAAGAAAAAGAATGGACTCTGCCATACTGAAAAATGGTCCTACAGAAGTGGTGCCATCTATTGAGTAGGGCTTGTTTTAAATGGATCAAAGCGCGGGCTTTTTAAATGAGAGAATTTATTGAATTTTACTCTAAAATAATTAAATTTGATTATTAAATCTTATTTTTTACACGAATTCAACAATACTAATAACAAGTATCTTTGTGATGTGTAAAAAATAAGATTTAACAGTATAATTTATACAATTATTAAATAAAATTAAAGCCAAACATGTGTAAATATTATTTATTATTTAAAGTTTTTATTTTTAAGTCAAATATTTAAACATCGTTTATTATAATAAAACAAGACCAACGTAATACGCCCAAAGTTTTGTAAATGGAGTAAATATAAATAGGTACTTAAATGATGGCAAAAATAAAAGACTTACATTATATTTTTAGGGCCACAAACAAAAGGAATGGTCTAATAAAAACACATATAACAAATTATAGTTTGAAAAACGTTTTGATAATAATTTTTGATAATATTATGATTGGCGCTATGACAACGACAATATTTTTTGAGAATTTGCCAATAGTATGACAATGGCCGTAGGAAACTATGGAAACTACAAAAAAAATCTGATTGAACGCCATCTGGCAATAACTAGTAGCAACTTCTTAACCTAAAAATTAATTGCACTACCACCTAGCGCCCGAGGCTGGAACTATTTTATTTGAAATTTCCGTGGAAACGGTGGAACCGCTTTTGCCTAGCTAGGTATATTCTTTGGCTTTTGCTATTTCACTTTCTGGCCCCTGAATTTGATCATCTTAAGTCAATTTCTTGCTAACCGCTAATTCTGTTCAAGCAGAAAACTTTTACTTTTATTGCATTTTCTTGAAATGAAGGAAAACGCATAGTCTCTAGTAATGAACTTTCAATGTCCATAGATTTTAATTTTTCTGAATTCTTTTAATAGTTTTTGATTTTTCTGAATACACCATAGAACTGAAGGATGATTGCAAAATTATTTCTATTTTACAGCCGCACTCAGAATCGGTCATCGACGCGCGACGATATTTTTTATTTTATATCGCGAACGAGATCTGTTATGTGTTCAATCTTTTTTGATCTTTTTAAACCGCATCTCTCTCTTTCAATCCACTAAAAAAGCGAACATGAGACGTCATCGCAGCCGGAAAGTTCGCTGACCTCGGCTCGCGTTCGGCGGCATTCAAGATGTAACGAGGACAGTCGCATCATCGCGCTGTCGATATATTTTTATTTTTAACGTTTAGCTTAGGTCTTTTTAGCGTTATCTATAAAGCTCGACCAATACAGACATTAAATAATTGAAATTGAATTTAATTATTTGAATAAATTTACTGAATTACAATATTGTGAAGGGATGGGACACATCACCCGCATCCATGGAAACTTTGCCGCTACTCTAAACACCTCATTCGACTTTGTCTAAGGATATATATTTGGTTAACGGTACTTCTTCCTTTCCTAAATCCACATTGGTACTCTCCAATTTTCTCATCAATATCCTCCACTAATTAAGTTACTTTTTTTAATAACTATTCTCGTCTGGCTCATAACATTTTATTCTCTGAAACAAAAGCAAAGGTATTATTAATAAGAATGTTGTATACAAAATGGTTTGCAATTGCAATGCTTTTATTATTTTCATATGCATACTATTCCTGATAAAACGCGCAACGTAGCAAGCCACTTAAAAATAATTTTCTTATAATGATTAACAAACATCTGATTTTATCTGAATACCTTGATGCACTTAAAAAACCGTATCAATTCAATAGAGTGCAATTTTTTTCGTAATGAAAAATCCATTTTTTGTGATATTACGAAACGATTAATATAATCGTATATGCTGTAGTGCTTCTATAAGCATAGATAATATATAGAGGTATATTTATATTAATCTGGTATTTTGCCAATTATGATTAATATGAAATAGTTTACTATATTAAATCATTCCAGATAAACTAAATCAACAAACACTTCAGTGGAGACATGTTTAATATACAGGGTGGTCCGAACTGTATTCCGGAAACTTCTGCAAGTAAAAATGAGTAAAAAAGTCCATATAAATGTATATCCTAAAAAGCTTAATTTCGGTGGTACAGGGTGTAAAAGTTTAATTTTTATTTCAATTTTTTCCAAATAATTTCTGCAGTAACGTCAATATTTGGACAAAAATTGGTGCCTGGGAGTTTTTTGGCATGAGAAGTTTGATTATGATTTGTCAATATGACTCCTCTTTGTAGGGGGCGCCACCTATATATGTGTTTTAACTATTTTGAAGCGTAATAATTTTTCGTCCGTACCCGTACAAAGCTACTGAGAAAAAAATGTCTCGAAAAATGTACATTTTCATGATTTTTTACATAAAAATTGTCTCTTGCTAAAACGTGCTCATTACGAGAAACCGTTTTCAAGATATTTAGGATGGAAATAGTGAATACATAGTAGAGTAGATAGTTATTTGACTGAAATGATAAATTTGGGAGCTTTTATTTTTTTTAATCATAATTTTTTTTCGAAAAAAAATTATAAAACAGTTTCTGTTGAACTTTTGACACAAAAACATTTCAAATTTATGATTTCAGTCTAATAACTATTCAGTCAACATGTTTATGTCAATGATGACAGGTATTGATAATTTTGATTCCAAATATCCCGAGAACCATTACTCGTAGCGATTTTTACCAATACACCTTTTTTACGTAAAAATATCTCAAATGTATATTTTTTTACTCAGTAGTTTTATACAGGTACGGACGAAAAGTTATTACTCTTCAAACCGGTCAAAAAATATGTAGGTGGGACCTTCTACAAGTAGGAGTCATATTGACATCAAAATCAAATTTCTCATGTCAAAAAAAACTCTCAGACACGAATTTTCATTCAAATATTAACGTTACTTCAGGAATTATTTGGAAAAAAATCCATATAAAAATGAAATTTCTACACCCTGTATTTCCGAAACTAAGCATTTCAGAACATACGTCTAACGATTTTTTTACTTATTTTTATCTGCAGGATATGCTGCCGAAGTTTTCGGAATACAGTTCAGACCACCCTGTATATTTAATATAATATTAATTTATTAATACATCACAGTTTTTTTTATTAACTAGACCATTTCAAAGTTAGTACGAAAATATTTTAATACATAATATCTTAAAAAATATGTTTTAAGGTTTTATATTAATACCTAATAATAAAAACTATTTTTATAAACAATTCTTTATTAAATTGTTTTTGTTTTTGAAATTGCAGCTTAGCAGCCATGGATAGCTTACAAGTTGCCGCTACTCAAGCGGCAGCTAGTAGCAAAACGTCCAGTCGCAGCACGTCTCCATGCCGTCATAAAGCTGACCACACCCCCAGCGCAGAAAGAGAAAAAGGCTACCATCCCCATCACGTCAAAACACTAAGTCATGGGTCAGCTGACAGTGCAAAGGTAAAATGATTCTACTTCTAAATACATCCTTTTAACTAAATACACGTAATTCAAATAGAGTCAGGAAGGCGGAGCCTCACACATACGCCCATCACGTCACAAAAGTCCTACCCAACTGACCCGAAACCACGCCCACGAGCACGGACACGCCCCCGAGGGCGTGGCTATGGACGATTCGATTGCGCATATAATGAACGCGTCGCTGCAGGATCTGGAGATGTCGCAAACTTATCCGTCGTCGTACATTTCGAACGGCAGTGGCGAAGCGAAGGATGATGAGGCCGATTGTATCCCCTTGGACTCCAAGACGAACACCATTTTGGAACATTTAGGCAACAAAATTGTCAGAGTGCGAGATTTAATTAGGACGGAACAAAAATTAAGAGACGGTAAATATTTATAAGTTAAAAAAAGTTAATAGTCTCTTAAATAGTGTTAAAATATCTTTTTGTGAAAGCGTTTCGAAATTGACAGTTTTTGATATTTATTTGAGATTCGAAATGACATTTTTTTAGACACTAGTATCTAAAAGTGACACTTGTTTAGACACTAGTGCCTAAAAGTAAAAAATGAAACGTTAGAAACAATGAAAATATTTATTTAATATAAATCTTTAAGGTACAATTATTTAAATTAAGGTAGTGGAAAACTTCAGGAAATAGGCTATATAGCAATACTTTTTCTGTGAAATCTCAACATGTTTTTCTTTGACCCAGGTTTCAAAGTTTTTGTAGGTGGTCTCGTATAAGTTTTTCGACTTCTCGGGCACTAACGTGGATAGCACAGTTTTAGCAGCTTGTGGAATATCGAAAGACTCGTCATTATCACTCATATTTTCACAAAACTTTGTAGGAAATACGGCGACGTTTGAACCTGACAGAACTTTGTTATTAAACAATGCATAAACAAAAACGATGCCTTAGAAACCTATTACCAGAACATTTTAAAAAATGTTTAAAAGTAAATAATAATAGTATGAAAATCTCAAATTATCCGCTTTCATAAAAAATCTTGTGTGAAATTCGTTGCGAAAAGAGGGTTTTAAGCATTCGACGCTTTGTCCAACTCGGCTTCATATACATTCATTTCGCAACTATTTTGGACAAATAGCTATTTTGGACGTCATTATCACTCATATTTTCACAAAACTTTGTAGGAAATACGGCGACGTTTGAACCTGACAGAACTTTGTTATTAAACAATGCATAAACAAAAACGATGCCTTAGAAACCTATTACCAGAACATTTTAAAAAATGTTAAAAAGTAAATAATAATAGTATGAAAATCTCAAATTATCCGCTTTCATAAAAAATCTTGTGTGAAATTCGTTGCGAAAAGAGGGTTTTAAGCATTCGACGCTTTGTCCAACTCGGCTTCATATACATTCATTTCGCAACTATTTTGGACAAATAGCTATTTTGGACTGACATTATCTAAACAAAGTTTTGACTTTTCTACATATCACTAGTCGTTATTAATGTTACTAAAGGCTGGCAAAGGTTAGTCTTGGGTCGAGATTTCCGTATGTAAGAAGAGTACAATGGCGTTTATAATGTACTGAACAAAGAGAGGACAGTAAACACGTTGCCAAACGTATGAAATAAACCGAGAAACTGTGCAGATCGCTAAGAGACGTGGAAGGGGATATAGCAGATTTGTCGCAGTTGACCGGTCGACCAAATCAATACCTCTGTCAGTACTTAAAGTTCTAGGGAAAGGTGTACGTCTTGCGTTCAGCTTCACGATTTAATTACGTCTCGTGATACTTAATTTGTTTATTTACTAACGAGTCGTAATTTTCCCTACAGCTTGAATTTTTTTAAGTGCAAGCTAGAAACACTTGCATTTTTGGTAAAAATAAGTGGAATTGAGTGGGTGTTCGATAGTGGTCGCGCTATTAGAACTCTGAATTCAAAAATCGATATCTCGAGATCTATTAGAAATAATAGATTGTAGTTTTTTCAAGAACTTTGTTAATATTCCTGGCTGTATTTTCTTTGTAGACAATATGTGAAAATCTTTATCAATAAAAAAATTACACGATTTCTGAAAATTGCTATGCTCTAAAAGTAAATGGATGGATTGTTTACAATTTTTGAATGGAAAAAACAAAAAAAAAAAAAAAAAAAAAAAAAAAAAAAAAAAAAAAAAAAAAAAAAAAAAAAAAAAAAAAAAAAAAAAAAAAAAAAAAAAAAAAAAAAAAAAAAAAAAAAAAAAAAAAAAAAAAAAAAAAAAAAAAAAAAAAAAAAAAAAAAAAAAAAAAAAAAAAAAAAAAAAAAAAAAAAAAAAAAAAAAAAAAAAAAAAAAAAAAAAAAAAAAAAAAAAAAAAAAAAAAAAAAAAAAAAAAAAAAAAAAAAAAAAAAAAAAAAAAAAAAAAAAAAAAAAAAAAAAAAAAAAAAAAAAAAAAAAAAAAAAAAAAAAAAAAAAAAAAAAAAAAAAAAAAAAAAAAAAAAAAAAAAAAAAAAAAAAAAAAAAAAAAAAAAAAAAAAAAAAAAAAAAAAAAAAAAAAAAAAAAAAAAAAAAAAAAAAAAAAAAAAAAAAAAAAAAAAAAAAAAAAAAAAAAAAAAAAAAAAAAAAAAAAAAAAAAAAAAAAAAAAAAAAAAAAAAAAAAAAAAAAAAAAAAAAAAAAAAAAAAAAAAAAAAAAAAAAAAAAAAAAAAAAAAAAAAAAAAAAAAAAAAAAAAAAAAAAAAAAAAAAAAAAAAAAAAAAAAAAAAAAAAAAAAAAAAAAAAAAAAAAAAAAAAAAAAAAAAAAAAAAAAAAAAAAAAAAAAAAAAAAAAAAAAAAAAAAAAAAAAAAAAAAAAAAAAAAAAAAAAAAAAAAAAAAAAAAAAAAAAAAAAAAAAAAAAAAAAAAAAAAAAAAAAAAATTCAAAATCGATATCTCGAGATCTATTAGAAATAATAGATTGTAGTTTTTTCAAGAACTTTGTTAATATTCCTGGCTGTATTTTCTTTGTAGACAATATGTGAAAATCTTTATCAATAAAAAAATTACACGATTTCTGAAAATTGCTATGCTCTAAAAGTAAATGGATGGATTGTTTACAATTTTTGAATGGAAAAAACAACCTTATCGAATTTTTCTTATGTAAACATACTGTAAAATATCCGATCTTGAAAGTAAAAAAAGTTTCAATATCTAAAGTGGTTCTTGAGTTATGGCTTGTTATGTGTTAAAAAGTTGAGTTTTTAAATTATCGCGATTACTGACGTTTTCTCGTTATAAAAAAATGACACCTTAACGATATCCTTATAATTCCATTTCAGATGCTCAGAAACATGTCTAATGATTTTATCTAGCTATCTCTTGAAAAAAAAGTATTTTAAAAATAAGCGGTTTGCGATCGTGATTTTACTTTACTTGGTAGGGAAAGGCGTATAGGCAACGCCGCAACAGCACACCGTCGCGCGTCGCGTCTGTCGGTCGCATTTCTCTCACTCCGACTTAATAAGATCCCTATGCAATTTACTTCCACACATGTAAATGCCCACCCAAAAGTAACAGTTGCCAGCACGGTATGTAAGTACCGTATGATCGAGAAAAAAAGGCGGTTAGAGAATGACAATCGATGATAATTTTGGCGAGGTCAATCTCTAGACGTCATTTATTAAAAATTGACATAAAACTTGTCAAAAATTATCACTAATTATACAGGCTCCGGCAATAATAGTGCGTCGGGCATCTGTAGCTCGTAGAATAAGAAACTTGAGAGTTTTGTTGAAGTGCAAACAAAAAGTATGTACGAGGGTGTATTTTCTCAAGAAATTATTTTAACTTCTATAGGAAAAATAGTTTGGGTACCTAGGTCGACTCAGCCTTGAATGAGTACTTGGGATTCACAATCCTGAGGTAATAATAGGTGGTTGAAGCGTAATGAAGCCCCGTTACCTTCCTTGTATACCGAACGGCTCTAGTATGGCAAGCTGTACCTTACTCTCAAGGCGTTAATCGCTATGTACGGGAGCTATTATTATTATTATAATCTAATATCAAAACACTGTTGTCTGGTCTCTGTACGCTTACATCCATGAAATTACATAAAAAATTTCACCAATAAAGGTAGCGTGAACTTAAGAGATTTTATTTAATAGTTTTGACACTTTAATACTTTAATATATCTTATATTTTTTAGATAACGTAAATGAGTATTTAAAGTTAGCCGCCAACGCTGACAAACAACAAGTGCAAAGAATCAAAGCTGTGTTCGAAAAGAAGAATCAAAAGAGTGCGCAGATTATCGCGCAGTTACAAAAGAAACTAGACTCCTACCAAAAAAGGGTTCACGAGTTGGAGAAACACGGTATTCAAAGTCACAGGCCGCCTAGAGAGGTACTGAGAGATATGGGACAAGGTTTAAAGTGAGTACTTTGAATGAAATTATATATTTTTTTATAACTTACTGTTTTTATTTTATTCTAGAAATGTTGGTGGTAATATTAGAGACGGCATCACTGGATTTAGTGGGTCAGTCATGTCCAAACCTAGAGAGTTCGCCCATTTGATCAAGAACAAATTTGGCAGTGCGGACAACATCAGTCAACTCTCAAGTAAGTTTTGTTTGTGTTTAATCGATCTAGTTTTCACGCAAAATTGCAACAAAAGTCCAACAAAGACATTTTTTAATGCAACATTTGTATTGTGGATTCTAACACATAGCAGACGAAGGTAATTTGTAAATATATTAATAAGATTAGGTGTTTAGTTAATGGCTGCTTCTTTTTTTTCTCCAATAATTGTTTATAAAGTGGACCAATATAACAATGTTACTGCCCAAGCAACACACAATGGTATATTATACGTTTAAACTGATCTAATACCGTCCGTCTTATCTAGGTATACGACAAAGAATGTGAAACGTATAATAAACTGCAAAATGTCCGCGACTTCAACGTATATATTTAAGGTTTTTATATTCCTTTTATAATCGTATATACATATACCAAAATTATACAAGTTGCTAAACGTATATTAGCAATTTATGATATACTAGGATTACACGTAGACTAAATACGTGTATTAAATGCTATTTGTCTTTATAAATTTATACTTGAAACAGAACCGTTTATTAAATGTTATTTTTACACACAAATTTATACGTATCCAGGAAATGAAATTTAGTTGAAATTACAATAACCACCTAGCATTATTGTTTTTCATTAATATGAAGGATTTTTGAACTAGTAAAACAAACCTTAGGTTACTTAAGAAATGCTACATAATGGTGACATAAATTATACCCTATAACCCCTTTATATAACATAATATTGCAACCTTTAAGTAACCTAAAATTAAAAAGTTTGTTTTTACTACTTCAAAAAAATTCTTCCTATAAATAAAAACAATAATGCTTGGTGGTTAAATTACTAAATTTAATTTCCTAATACATTTTTTGTTGTTAATGGTTTGGAATGAATAAGTATAAAAAACTTAATTGGAAATCTTCTAATAATATTTTAAAAATTGGAGACATATACCGTACATTACTGAAATAAAAATAAACAAAACATATCATAATTCTTAAAATAAGAAAACTGACAATGCATAAATATAACTAAACATAAAATATAAAGAATAATATATACATACGTTCACATTTTTTCTCTGTTATACGAGTAGTATATTATTTTACAAAATCGTTTAAATCAATCCAGTTGTCTACCAGAATAAGAAAGTTTGACAGCTTCTAAAAAATGGAGAAAGGGCAAGCAATATATTATACAATTACTGATAGGGTGTAATAAAGAACTTTCTAACAACAAGTTTTTATTTAATCCATGTACTAAAAGCTAAAAGTAATAAAAAAGCGTTTTCGCGAATTGTTTTTTTACTTTGCAACAGGGGTATGTAAGCGGTATACAGTATACGTTTACAAAACCTATGCTCAGCACTGCAAAAACTTGTAATTGAACACAAACATATTCATGCATATAAAAATTTACATAAATACATACATGCGAAGTTAAGTAAAAGCTTATATTTGATAAATTTAAAACTTACTCTCAATTCCGTTTCCAAAGGAAAAAATTACGAAAAAAAAATCCTCAAAACGCTACAACACGTAATACGTAAGTAACAAAGCCTAAGTGTACGTTCTCTTTCTTCTGCAATTGAACTATATATTGTGTAAAAGGAGTAGCTGGATATACCATATTTATGTCTTTAGGAAAAGTATTATATTAAATAACGCACCTTATATTGATATCAAACAAACAATGTGTGGACACAAAGGCGTCTTTACCCTTGATTACCCTTACTCTGAGCCTAGATGTTTCATAGAAGACGCAACGTGATTGGGTAGATTTGATCATGTGACAAGATTTTGTAGTGTCGAGTATGGGCTTCATATCCGTATACCATATTCCATTTAGATTCCATCTGCTGTAAAAAGTCTAACAATATGATTGGTAGATCTAATCACGTGACTAGATTTTATAGTGTCGAATAAACATTTCGTATATGTAGTCTATATACCATTTCTATACATTTTATTGATACTGGTTATATACGTTTTTGACATTCAGTTCTTTTCAATATTTTTATATTGGAGTTCAAATTTATCAAAAAATCACAAAAAACAGTTTGATAATGACTTACTATGCCCTTTGTGTCTGAACTTTTCAAAAATTACGAATATACAGTTTGACCAGCGGATCTGAAGCTACGGAAGGAATGCGACAAAAAAAATCGATATTGCCACGTTTATCTATAAAATTGCAAAATTGCCAGACGTGAACTATAAATTTAATATATTTTTATTATATTATATAATGTGTTTAGCATATATTCTTACGTATATTACTAAGGAATTTTAACGTAGTTCATATTGTTCGATATGTTTTATTTAATAACTTATTTCTCTTTCATTCTGTATAATCTGCTTATTATGAAAGTTGAAGATTTTTCAACGATATCATTGGCAAACCGGCATCGCCGCGCATGGCCGCCTATTCATCGAACATGATTGGCGAGAGTACGTCACAGGATTTGTTACCACGCGGTTGCCGTGGCTTTTACGCCTTTCCTATTCGCTTGCTTTATCCCCAACTTCACGGTCTCTTCTGAAAAGAGTAGGAATATTGAATACTATTGAAATATCCAGTGGCGGTGTCATTCTTTTGATCATTATTACTTTATATCATTATTTTATACCGGTTATCCTAAACTTTATTCCTATATTTTTCGTATATTTGATAGTTAAGTTGTGTTTTATTGTTTTGTTATCTTGTTATAATGTTTTTCGTTCGTAGTTTTTAATTATTAATATCAAGTTTGATCGTATATTTGTGTTTTAAAATGAATAAATTTGTTAAGGGTAAGACGCTACATAGCCAGAAAAGAGAAATAATAGCTAATTTATATAGGTAAGTAGAATTATAATAATATAATTAGAATATTAAAAATAAATATTGGCTAAAATGAAAAGCACACATTTTACCTAAATATTTTAGCTAAACTAAAATAAATATAAATAAACGTGGATGAAATCTCATTTGGTTTATTTCCTTGAGTTCATAATAGAGTTTGCGACGAAGAAGCTACAGAGAGTTCGCTTAAGTTGCCGTTTAAACGTAAACTTGAGCGGATATTTCTTTATACCGGAGTTAGCGTATCGGCTATAAAAAAAATCACACAGAAGATAAAAAAAGGCTGGAAACTAACCCCGATAAAATGATATCCAGCCCTGGAAAGAAACGACCACGTGAGACTGCTGTTGAAACGCTCGACGACTTTTTCCAAGTAGTCAGGAATTTGATAAATAGATTTTATATCGAATTCAAGCTTGTCCCCACAATTAGAAAGCTTTTGCAAAAATTGCAGGAAGAATCGAATTTTCCTTTGGCAGGGAAACGCTTAGGGGGTTATTAAAATCAAATGAATTTTTTTGGCGTAAATGTCAAAATAACAGATAAATATTAATGGAGCGGTCCATTAAATTGCAGAGAGAGATATAAATATATACGCGAAATTCGAAAATATAGCCAAGTATTATCTATTTGGATGAAACATATGGGTAGACAATGACCTAACCTTTAAAAAGTGCTGGCGGAGCGATACTATATCTGGTGTAATAGGCAATATTGGATCTACTGGTGAGTAAAATTATGTTTTGTTTGCGCTTCCAAAGTTAACTATTTTCAAGATTTTTTTTTGCTGGAAATAATTATATCTAAAATTATGTATTATAGAAAAAAATATAGTTAGTATAGATATATAAATAAATATACCTCAAGACTCAGTCTTGATCATCTGCTGATGGCAGACATGGTTAACGACACGTGCGTCCAGTGTAAAATTAAAAGTGTTTTGGTTTATTGTACTGATTTAGTGTTTTATTTTGCTGTGTAAGACCAAAGGTTCCAACCCCCAGCTGTAATTATTTCTTCTATTATATTAACAACACATAATAATAAAATGATTCAAAATATTTAAGGGAGCTTTAATAAAAGCTTTTAGTGTTTATCTGCTAACTCAACAGTAACGATTCAAACAGCATAAAGTTTTTTGAAAAAATTATTAATCTGAATATTATATTTATAATACACATTATTTTCATAAAACACCGTACGCCCATGCCTATTTTATGAATGAAATTGGGCGTGTTTTGTTTACAACTGCGTTCCCCTGCCGATACCCCGTAGCTACAGATCGGTTGGTCACACTATAACTGACTGGGTGCCAAAATCGAAATATTATACACGTAAAATATATGTTTCGAATATACGTTAAAAAGTAGTATAATAATGTTCAGTATAATAAACGTATATACTAAGATTAACGGAAAATAAAGCCCTTTAATATGCGTATATTATACGTTGCATATAAAAAAGTAGTATGAAATACGTATATTATTTATACCTTTAAAAAATATACGACATTTATACGGATAGTACGTTTATTAAACGTATATACTCTTGAACGGTGTTGCTTGGGTGCGTTTATATGTAACAAAGTATTTCTATAACTTGGGTCTATTTTTAATTGTGAATAGCTTTTGTTTAGTTGGTGATAATTTTTTTCTAGTTTATTTATTTTTCATATTCTTTTAATTATGTACTCACTAATTTAGCAAATTTTGCTTCGTTATTTCTAAGTCATATGTATGTAAATACTGTGCATGGAGAATATTTAGACGACCATTAATTTCATATTATTTTTGGAATATAATTGTTAAAGTAATTAACACCGTAAGTACATACTTAAAATCTAAAAAAAATGAAACATTTCCATCATTTACCACCAATATTTACAAGAATAGGCTTTATAGTGTTTACACAGGGTGTCTCATTTTTAAATAAATGCAAGTATTTTACTTACTCATTTTATTAGTACCGGTAGCCCGTAGCAGGAACAAGTCCATGATGCAAATTCTACATTTTTGACATTTTACTAGAAAAAAACTTTTTAGTGGCAGATGTTCATTTTTCTGAAATTTCTGGTCATTTACATTTTCTACACAATAACGAAAATTAATATAATTTATCGGTGGTATTATTAATCATTTTAGAAAAACGCACTGCGCATATTTTTTTACATACAGATATTTTCAAGCTGAAGGCCTACCTCTAAATATAAGCTTTATACTTTTAAATTGAGACTTAAATATCTGAATTTATTTTTAAAATGGTAAATGGAAAATATTTCTTTTGTCCAGGTCTTCCACCCCTTAAAATACATGCATTTATTTAAAAATCACTCTGTATAATAAATATATGTTTAAATTGAATAAGTTATACATTTATGCGGTTACAGTAATAGCGCAAAAGAGTAAAGACCAATAATTTTATTAAGCATAGTATATTGTAAATCATTTATGTTTTAAATTTTATGGAATGGAATAAATATGGACTTTTTGTACCAGTGTAGGTGGTTGATTGTATACACGCAACCAAACTTGTATGGAATCATCTATTATTTTTCATTATTTTTAAATCGTATGAACTTTTGTGTTTATGAAGTTTATGAATAAAACTCAGTCCTTACTAAAGACTTTTAATGAGAAATAATCCATCCAGCAATAAAGAAAAGCAAAAACAAAAAGAAAATTGATAATTTTAACAATCCGTGTTGCCATCTCTAGCCCTTATACTAGCTGCTATCCGCGCTGGCATGCTTCTTATTAAATTATCAACGTTGTCTTTTGGGGTATGTTTTCCCATTCCGCTAATGCTGCATCAATAAGCTATGCGAGATTTTCTGTATTATTTCGACGAGCTCTAATCCTTCTTTTGAGCTGGTCCCACAAGTGGTCGATAGGGTTTAGATCTGGTGAACGTACAGGCCAGTCCAAAACTATGACACCTTTAGGAACAGTCACTACTATTGAAAAATCCAGTGTCGGGGTTATTGTATTGTGTTTTATATCTTTAACTTGATTTGTGTTTATTGTAATTAGTACACGCGTTTTAACAAATATTACTATATTTGGCAAATGACTAAACAAAATGTAGGTACATTTAAAGTAAAATAATATTATAAACTTTACTGGAAAATATTATAAAAATTCCTGATATATTTTTATGAAACACCGCACGCGCGTGGATATTTTATGAATGAAATCGGTCATGATTTTAGAAAATTGCGATCCCCTCACCGTTGCCCCGTTGTTTCAGATCCGTTTGTCAGACTGTACAGTTCCTCCTTTATATCTTGGTACAGATTTGGAAGCCTGCAGTCTCGTTCGTCTTCCTAGAGCCCTGAGAACCCGAATTCGATGGTCATCTGATCTTAGGCCCATTCTGGTCTCATCCGGAAAAAGGAACAGTTCGCCAATTCTCAATTGTCCAGTTTTGATGTTGAAGGCACCAATTTAGCCGGTCAATTTTATTTTGCCGAGATAACTGTTGGACCCGTAACTCTCTCCTACTGTATACAACCCTCGAGCACGAAGCCTTTTTCTTATGGTTTCAACTGAAACGTTCACACCTGTAGATGTCAGAAGTTGTCCATCCGAATGTTTACTCTGGATGAGAAACATTGGAATTTCTTCTAGGAATTTGGCACACAAAGCGGTCTTGTTGTTCAGTCTTGTCGTCAACTCTTTGAAGACGTTGTTTGGGCCTATTCTTGAGAGTTCCTAGTTCCAAATATCTTGCATATGTTTTTGACATTTTTAATTTTTTTGGATTGAATGAAAATTACCGGACCAATCGTGATTTTACTACTGAACACAAAATTCACAAGAAAATAAATTGCAGCAATCGTTTATTTTTTTTTATATTATCATGTTTATTTACAACCAAAGTCTTGTCGTAAAGTTGTATACCAATTTTTTTCCTTGCAAAAAGTTTAGTCGCAAATAAAGAGGGATTCCATAGAAGTTTGGTTGTGTATATAAAGTGTTTTTGCAATTATTTTAATTACTTAGTGCACTAATTCATAGGTGATGGATTGTAACATATACATTTTTAAAATTTCCACAGATTTTAAACACTTTAAACGCAAAACTAGTGATGAGCAAGATCGGTCTTGGCCTTGGTCTGCAAAATTAAGGCTAGCGTTGGATTAGCAGGACCAAGACCAACCAGTGCAAGACTTCCACAAGACCACTCTTGCGGTCTTGCAATTTTTTTCCCGTTTCTGTTATATAAGAAATTATATATTTGTTCATAGTTATCGTTCAAATTTATTACAAATCGTGTTATCCCAACTATTGCATAAAATTTTAAAGAAAGAAATGCTGATTCCGTATAAAATATCAGACAATACGTCTAATAATTTCTTTCTTTAAAGTTTTATTTGCACTAAATTACTAAAAATACTATTTATTTAAAGATTTTTTTATTTTTTAGAAAGTGTATCTAGTGCGAATCTATTAAGAAAATGCACGAGTCTTGCAGCAAGACCAAGACCAATGCTGGAGCTACAGAACCAAGACTACTTATTAACTGCTTGGTCTTGCATTTGCTCATCACTACGCAAACCTATAAATTCCCTAATTATATTGTTATCGCTTATCACAATTTCTTATTTAATTTTGCATTTAAATTTTCAACATCTTACTTATAATAGTTTAATTTGTACGAAAAAGAACTTCTTCATTAATTACCTACTTCTAATTAGCAATGTCTATCAGCTATTAAAATTTTCTACCAAATAAAAGTATATAATAATTTAAAAACTATATATTTGTCCATTTTCGATTATAAAATCCATCCCTGACAGTATTAAACATAACAATCGCAAACATTTACGTTTTGAAACATTTTCTTTTAATTTGGTTGCCGTTAATACCAATACTTATGTAAATATACGCTTTTTTGCCTAAAAAAATTACAACTCACGCCCCCCATAACCTATTGTAACCAGTAAAATAACCCAGTTTAATATCGCACGCCTTAATCTAACCGCACGCCCTACCCTCTCTTCTCTCATTGGCAGCTTGGTACGTAGGGCCCGCCCAGTCGATTAACCAGACCACCGGTTCGGAAGGCAGTTGCGCAGGACCCGGTCACGAGGGAGGACCAGGCGAGGGAGGCGGGGCCAACCACAAGGGCGCGACCAAACACGGCAGCGCTACATTACCCATGACCGCGTCGCAGAGCAGCATGCAAGGCGGAGGGGCGGTACAGAAAAGGTTTCCTAGCGACGATGGTTCCGAGTGTGAAAGTAGTGTAACTAGTGATAGTATAGGAAGGTTAGTTGAGAGAAAAATGATGTGTTTGATTCGTATTCAAGTAAAATGTATTTTTATTAGGTATGAACATGCCCAAGAGTTAAGCCAACAGGATTATTTTATTGAGCTGAACAAGAAACTTAAGATTTTACAAGATCAAATCGATCCCTTGAAAGAGAATGCGGAGAGTGCGAAGTTGCTTCAGGCCGAAGTTCAGTATCTTCACAGTGCATTGCAAGTGAGTGGATTAAGGCTTCTATTCAATGTATAATCTGTACTAATATATAAAATCCTTAAATGACTGACATACTGATTAATCACGATCCTGCTCAAGCCACTCAACGTAAGAAGCTCAATTTTGGCATACAGGTTGGTTCTAGGGTGTAGAGGTTCGATAAGAAGGGATTTTTCGAAACTCGAATTCTAAGGGAGTGAAACTATCCCTCAAATATTAAAATATTTTTTATATAAAAACCAGCGAGTTTTTCGGAAAAACTGTTAAACACGTATATTTTATTTTGTTGTTTTACATATTTTAAGATTTTATACATACAGGGTGTTTCATAAAATATGACCATTGAGTAATCACGATTCTGCTTAAACTGCTTGACGTTTAAAGCTGATTTTTGGCAAACGGATTGACTGTGGGGTGTAGAGGTTCTATAAGGAGGGGTTTCTCGAATCTCAAATTCCAAGAGGGTGAAAACGCCCCTCAAATATTACAATATTTGATATTTAAAAAACGGTTAGTCTTTCGGGAAAAGGCTTGGACAAGCATAATTTATTTGGGTTTTTTACATATTTTGAAACTTTTTAAAAAATCATACAGGGTGTTCCAAAAAGTTGGGTAATTTCTTAACCTAAGCTTATTTTTGGCAAACGGATTTTTCGAAAGTCAAATTCCAACGAGATGAAACTACCCCTCAAATATTACCAAGTTATATATGTAATAATGTCACCATATTGTTTTTTCTCATGCTGACATAAATGTGAGAAAATTTTATCCTGTTTGTATGTTAACGGAAATTGTTGCTTTGCTTTATCATCACCATTACAAATGATTAATTCGACGCGAACGAAGTCGCTGGTACACGCTAGTAATTTATATTTATCTTTTATAATATAGGATGAGAGATTTAAGGCTGAAAGGCTTGAAGAACAGATCAATGACCTGACAGAATTACATCAAAACGAGGTAGAAAATTTAAAGCAGGCCATGGCGGATATGGAGGAAAAGGTTCAGTATCAAAGTGAAGAAAGGTTAAGGGATATTCACGAAATGCTTGAACAGTGCCAGACAAAGGTAAATTTTCAGATTTACTGCTGCTACTAACTATTTCTACTAGCAATTTCACTACTTCAATTGTACAAATTAGCACTTTTCTTCTTAAGTTTAAAAACAATTGGAACTGATCTACCCTAAAACAAATCAATTATAATACTTTTTAAAGGTATACATTAGGTTCATTTGTTGTTTATTTATAAATAAAGCTTTATCCACCTAGGTAGTTATAAGTTATTGATTTTCAGATTCAAAAAATGGAACACCAAGCCTTACAACAGCAACAGTACGTCATGTTGGAGGGTTTGGACAATTCAAATGCGCGCGCTTTAGTTGTGAAACTGATCAACGTCCTTTTGACAGTATTGCAAGTTGTTTTGTTGCTAGTGGCAACGTGTGCCGGTATTATTATGCCCTTTTTGCGTACCAGGTGAGTCTAGTTACTTGTTTTTTGATTTTATTTGGTCAGTCTACGTTTATGCGACAATTTTTAGGCCACAGCGTCAACTACACGTGGTTATACTATTACTTGTTTTCACTTTGAGTTTATGATTTATTATTTTTATTTAGCCATAGTCGCGGCACGGTTACGGTGACAGAAATAACGGAGGGAAAGCAGCAGTTTGGCAACCCTGTGAACTTAAAATGGCCTTCCATATTTAGCAGGGGGCTCTCGAAAAGTTAGCTAGTTCGAGTAGGTAAACAGATTTTTGATTTTATTTTGTATTTTGCGATACATAACTGCGTGGCATCTTGGGAGTTGTTGCATTTTGTTAGAGTTGTCTTTTTTTAATTGGGATGAAGTAAAATAAACTTAGACTGACGTCGATTTTTGTTATTTTATGTTTGGTTGCTTTGGTACTTTTAGATTAATTTAAATAATTTAAAGAAATTGAGAGAAAGACTTTTAACACCATATTGACTATATTCAAAACATTTTTCTTTAAATGTTTATGTCATTATATGGATATTAGAATTATTTTTTAAAGTAAGTGTAAGATAAATTGATAAAATCTTAGTTTCGCAAATAGATATTGTATATGTTACAGTGAATGTTAGAAACCCAGTAAATCTTAACAATCGCAAGGGAATGTTAATAATTACCAGTATCGGACCACTGAATTTCGTATTTTAAAGAGATTTTTCACTTTTTATAGTAACTATGAGTAGTTGATAGTGACAGTAACAATTTACTAAAAGTTGTCAGTAAAAGTAATTCTACAGGATGAGTCATAAATAAGTGCAAATATTTTCAGGGCTGGTAGATCTCGATAAAAGAAACATCTTTTCTCTTTACCGTTTTTCTAATAAGTCCAAAATAACTGAGTTGTTTTACTTTGAAAATCTGAAAAAAAATCGATAGCTACTACTGCTAGAATGTAGTCTATACATATATAATAGCTCTAAAAGCCTAAAAAGCCCATGGCGTGATTGGTCATCTTTCTCCATTTGTTTCTGTCTATCGCCTTTTAGAACCCACTCTTATCCTTCTCAAGTCCTCTTCAACATCCTTTTTCCATCTGGTTCTCTGTCTACCTCTCCTTCCCTTTTCACCTATTTCACGTTTCATTATCATACTGGGAACTCTTGCTTCAGCCATTCTTTCAATGTATCCCAGCCACCTCAGTCTTTGTGCTCTTGCTACTCCCGTTAAATTTGGTGCCCGATATAGTTGCTTTAATTCTTCGTTTGTTCTTCTGGTCCATATGTTGTGTATCTTCTATCAAAAATCTTTCGGAGTATTTTTGTTTCCCAAATCTCGAGCCTCGAACATTCCGTTGCATTGAACGTCCACGTTTCACATGCATACAGCACTATTGGTTCACTGTTTGGTACATTCTTATTTGTAAACTTAAAACCTTTTTAAACTAGAGGTTCTTACTCTTAATAATTTTCTTTAGTGCGCTAATACATCTATTTCCTGTCATTATCCTTGCCACAATTTCCTGTGTTTTTTGTAGAAATACGGTTCCTAGGTATATGAATGTATCTACTTCCTCAAACTTGTATCGTTTCCCTCTCTCAGAATCTATTTGTAGACATCTACCATTGTCAAAATCCTTATCTGACCACTCCATAAACTTAGTTCTTAGCTCTTGATCTTCTAGTCTTTTGGTCACCGATATCAGCTCTTTTCGATCTCTTGCTAAGATAACTAAATCATCTTCAAAGGCTAAGCATTGGTGTCTTTTTGTATACAGAAGGCCCTCTCTGTTGATTCCCGCATCTTTTTATAACTTTTTCTAATACTACACTAAACAGTACTGGAGATAGTGGATCCCCCATAGAATGTAGTCAAAAAGTCTAAAAGCAAGGCGAATTTGCTAGCGTTCACTAGCAAGTTGCAGTGTAGTAAGATCCAGTGAATGCTAACTTTCACTAGTAAAATTTTGTTTCAAAATTATTTGTTGAACTTTTACTGGCGTAGTGTTATCAAATCAGTAAATATAAGCGTCAATTACCAGTAAAATTGTTAACATTCACTATATAATTTCTCTGGCTTTTACTGTAACATAGCTTCTTCTTACAGTGCCATACTCTATACAGAGCGTCGGCTACCTTTCGCACACACACATCACAAGTACATACTTCATCAGTGTTTCACAAGTACACTTCAACATATACGTACTGTAACATATACACTTAAACTAAGTTAGTTTTTTTAAGAACAAAAATCTCTAATTTATTTTTTATCTCCTGACAAACCAGTCTTTAAAATATCTAATCCAGTGTTTTTTTGGACTTGAATACATTGACAGTAGTTTGTATTGAAGTTTCTTTGGTGTTTCTAAATATCTAAAATGTGTGAAATATATGAAATCAGTTAATACTATTCTAAATACATTACATTATACTTTTTTTTCAGAGTAAGAATAATTACCACCGTTGTTTTCGTCATAGCCATAGTGTTCACCCTAAAGCAGTGGCCGGAAGTGCGTGATATAGGCGGTCATATGATGAAACGACTCAAAGACACTCTAGCACCGGTCGAATAGCGTTGGCCCCGCCTTATTTTGCCAACCGGAGCTCTGGGAATAGCATACGCCCTTCCCGCCACGCCCTAGCGACAAGCCTCGCCCACCTGTACGCCTGTTTAATGGATAAGGGGCGTGGTTAAAGTTTCTGCCAGTGTAGGCGTGGCGTAGGATTATTTAGGAACATACTGAGTTATAATGTTAAGTCAGTGGCGGCTACTAGTAAATAATTTTTCGTTATTTGTTGGGTTAGTTTTAATTGATTCTTGTGCAAATGTGATGTAGAACGTAGATTCCCGATTATTTTACTGTGTAACATGATTTAAGTAGGTTTTACAGTCCGTGCTCAATTGTTTTCTAATATTTTTTTTTAAAGAAAGACCAAAAATATTTAATTATTTATATAGGGTGATTCACGGCGATGGCACGTTAGACGTGTATGGAGAACAGGTGATTTTTACATAAAGGCATCTAGTCCATCTTTCTAAAATATTTTCAGCATTACAGTGTTGCCGCTTCATACTAAAAGTAATAGCATCTTTCTTATTTTAAATGGAACACCAAGTATATTATTACATTTTTGGAAACTATTTTCATATCTCATAATCTATCATCTCTAATATATCTCATATATTATCTCTAATAGTTTTTTAGATAAAAAATAAAACATGTATAAAATTGACAAAAACATGATTGTCAATAAGCATTGGTAAAATCATGAATTAAACATTTTTAAAGTTGAAATTTGGGTTATAATTTAACGAAAGTCGATATATTATATCTGTCTAAATAAACCGATTGGATATTATACAGGGAGAGCAAAAATATTTATTTACGTTTGTTATAAAATTGCTCAAATCTTTGGTATTTTATATTCAACCCTATGTATATTATTTAAAAAATCAAGAGACTAATAAAATTGATTTTCAACTAGATATCATATTCCTACCTAAACATTCCTGTTTATTAAGTAGAGCTATTTAAAAATTTTTAGTTTCATTTCAAGAATTTCGTTACAATGACAATTTTAGAAATTTAGTAGGTAAACTCTAATTGATACTTATAAAGTTTGAATATTTATCATGGTAACGATTTTCTTTAAACAAAACAATTATACTAGAATTATTATCTTTTAAATGGCTTTACTGAAGAAACCAGAAGGTTTAGGTATAGGAACATGGTATATCGTTGAAAGCAATTTTATTTAGGTTTGGATTTTTTAAATAATATACATAGGATTGAATTTAGAATAACAATAATTTGAACGGTTTTATGACAAACGGAAATAATTATTTTTTCTGGCCGCCCTGTTTGATATCCAATCAGTTGATTTAGACTAATTGAATATGTCGACTTTCCTTAACCTATAAACCAAATTTTAGCTTTTAATATGCCGAATTTATGATTTAACCAATGCTTATTGAAGATCATGTTTTTGTCAATTTTACAGATGTTTTATTTGTTATCTCGAAAACTATTAGAGATTGGTATAGGTTAGTATAATAAAAAAATTATGAGACATGGGAGTAGTTTCGAAAAATATAATAATATACCGGGGGTTTTATTTAAAATAACAAAGAACACTTTTAGTATGAAGCACTGTAATGCTGAAAATAATTTAGACAGATGGAGCAGGTGCCTTTATGCAAAAACTCTAATTTTCAAAAAAATCTTATCACCGTTTCTCCATAAACGTCTAACGTGCCATGGCCGTGAATCACCCTGTATATTACACGTGTATTGAGGTTTGTAATCGAGTACTTGTTTTAAAGTATTTGGATAAATCTGCTCTGTTTTTTAGAGCAACCGTTTTGTTTGTCATTTTAGCTAAATTAAACCAAAATTAAATAAAATCATAAGGAATATGCAATTATTAATAAGTACTGTAAATGTAAGTTAAATGCTAAAAAATTGGCGCCCATTTTTAGCCCACGTGGGACATAACCTAAAAGAAATCGAATCAATTTTCTATTGGGTCTTTAGCCTAGAATTACCCCATTAATAGGCAAAGTAATATAAAAATGCTTGTTGACTGAAATCCATACTATATAGATTCAGTAAGTGATTATTTATAGATGTAGTATATATAGAGTTCATCATAAACAGAGCATTAAACAAAATATAATTAAAAATGAACTTGGAACAGGTTTCGTCCATTTTTCTAGTTTGCCGAACAAGAGTGAGAGAGTGAAAGTTATACAAGATGTCCAAAAAAGACAATTTTTCCACAAGTTAAAAAGAAAATTATTTATTCCTTTATCTTAACTTTTTATTTATTTATTGTAGATTTGTTTATTTATTAATAAATTTATTTCAAACATTGTCTGTTTTTGGGCATCATTATTCATTACATATGTAAGACAAATAATAAGAAAATTAATTCCTTGGCTAGTGAAGTCCGAACGCTATTTTAGAACAAAATGCCACCCTCATCTAAATATTTTTTGTATTATTTTAATTATTTATTTCTTTATAAAACACTATTGATTATTATATATACACAATCTATATATAGTTTTAGATCGTTATTTTGTATTTCATGATTCGTATTTTTGTCTATTTAAATAAAATTTTATTTTTACTTTAAGATTTACTTGTAGTTTTATTTGCCTTTTTTATTTTTTCCGCTCAACACTACAGTTTTAGCTCTTGTGTTTACAAGTACTTCAATAATGTACAACCAACGGATTAAATACTACCTACATTAAAATTCGTTCTGAGCCGATAAAATTACCTTCTCACGTGAGACTTTCTGTTATGACTCCCCATCAACTCTAATTCTGATCATTTCCAGTACAGTCTTATCGACATTGACCGACTCACTAGATTCCTTAGCATCGCTTACTAACAGAATTATACAGGGTGTACCAAAAAACAAATGAGAAAACTACTGAGATATTGCAAAATAAGATTAGGCGGAATTTCAGATGCCCAAATTTGGCACAAAGCCATGCAAGAAGTGGAGTTTGATATTTGAAATTATCACAAAATAACGCGTCGTCCAGTAGTGATGGGAATACCGGTTCCACATGAGTCGCGTTACAGTAGCGACCGTTCCAGAAAAATAACGCTATTTTGTAATCGAGGTTCCGACTTCCGCAGTGTCGCGGTCCTCGCTTATGCAGTATTTCTGGCATTAGTTATCTACTCCAAACCAGTGTTGTCAGGTTCTTACAATTGTACCAGCTGTTACAACCATTCGTGCCATGAACTTAGGTACAACTGATATTGGAGATGGAGAATAACCCTCTATAAAACCGTCCCAGATACTGGCTTTTGTCAAAGCCCTGGGACTGTATGATGAGTTGTAACTCAAGAAGGGGGAGACGATAGATCTGTAAAGTCCCAGTGATTAACCCTCGTCCCACTTATTTCTACATTCTACCATCTCAAAATACATTTTGCTGAGATTTATTGATTTTTCCACCACCTTTTTTCACAAACTGCAACTACTCCCAACCTTGCCATTATCTCTGTGCCCGTGTAAATTCATAAACAATTTCATAGACGAATTTGTAAACAATACAGGATGACTAGAAGAATTTATGACAGTGGCAATACGTTAGGTTTCAATTTCAAGACCTTAAAAATAGATATAAACAATAAAACTTATGTAAATATATAAAAGCAAATAATAACATTTTTATTTTATTTTATTCGCTTTTACGTTTCATCTTTCTAACGCAACGCTATTTTATACCATGCCTAGTACATACCAAAAATCGCTATTTCGAAAATAACGTAGCGACGGAAGCACCAACACCAATAGTAACCGACCAAATCGCGACAGGCGAAAACGAAACCCTAGAAGCGCTTCAGCGACTGCTGGAACGAAGTAAAGGTTGTCGCCCACTAGACCGCGGCGCGGCGCCATGTGGAAATTTCTTTTGTCTGCTTGCCATGTATTTAAATGGACCAACGCACATTAGAGCGCGCAGCGTAGAAGCGCGCCACGGAATTTCCGTCAAGAAGTCGGAAGACTTCTCTAGCAACTTTTTTCCGTCTCCCGCGTTTCGGCGCGTTGCAGTGTGCGTACTCACAAGGGAGATAATTTTGCATTCGAGTCTTTTCAGTTGGCTTTTTGACTAGGAACTAGTGATATGTGTCAATGGCAGAATTGTATTTTTAAAGGTAAATTAGGCAAATCGATTTTCATAAAGGAATATGATATTTTTTTAGTCTTCCCTCACTAGAGACAGATGGACGAAATGCCTTTCTATCAAAGATTTAATATAATTGAGGGGTGTAGAGGCAAAACTGGCAATCTCCACTTTTTAAGAAAAGTGACAATCTCCTGTTTTTAAATTCTAATTACCTAAATATATAAAAAAGATCAGGGTTTTTTTGACCACATAACTAATATACACATCAGAATAAATAAGAATTATCAAAAATATTAGTAATTTGTCTCTTCTGAAAAAATATGATAAGTAGATATACCCGGTGTTTTTTCTTCTAAAACCCTCAATTGAGGAGTGCGTAAAATGTTTCCTTTATATTTTGTAATACTGAAAAAAATGATTTTGTCTTTTATTAAATCTGGAAAAAGATGGTAAAATTCTCCAAACTTATTCTTTCTTTTTTTGTTAATCGTATGAGTCCAAACTTTTCCTCACCCCCTCTTCCTCTTCCTCTGTTAGAAAAGCACAAAAAATACGCTTTCGTCCGTACTTGAACTCATTGCTTTAAAAACTAAACTACAGTAAGTAAAAAACACTTCGACTATAACTAAATAGCGTTGCCGCGTTTCAAAAGCGCGCTATAGTGGGCGCAGTCCCTTAATTCTCTTCCCAGCGCCGGAAAAAATTCTCTTCCCAGCGCCGCGCCGCGCAGCGGTCTAGTGGGCGACAACCTCAAGTCGCCGACGCGCCGCGCCGCCGCACAGTGTAACGAAAATTAAAATAGTGGGACATTGGCATTTTTCTTCAGTTATCACTATTCTAGCTAACATTTTTTGACAGAAATTAAATAATACGACTAGGAATTTTTGCTACAGGGCGAAAAGAGTAAAAAAAGGCGTAATGGAAGGTCAAAAAAAATAGTTTTATAAAAGGACTTTACAGGTATATTTTTTATTTACGAAGAGTTTATAGTTCTTATGGACCAAAAACGTTATCAAATTACTGTCGAACAATCATTTATCTCCCGCTAATATGTCAAAACTCAATCGACATTCCTAAATATTCAAACAATCAGGGATAAATTAGATCCGTTTGGACAGTTTTTATATATCTTTTAGGACAAAACAGAAAATCGCTTACTCTTTTCACTTCCTCGGGATTTTCCAATAGATATTCAAAAATTTTGCTCAACTATTGTTTGCCTTCCAATCGTAACTTAATTTTCATGGAGAACTCAAGTTCTTCAGTTGGTTTAGATGTAAGACTTTGCGTTCTTCCCCTGTTCTGTTTTGAGCAGAGTTCTCCAAATGTTCTTTTCGGGTTTTCTCCACTATTGGTCGGTT